GCTCCAGTTGTTTGGGGATTGCACCCAAGGGACCTGCTTTCTTTTGCCACATTCTACTTCTCTTTGGAGGTCTTCATATTTTGTGAGTTTCTCCAGTTCTTTCTCTCCTATTCTGCTGTCTCCAGGTTCTGCCATGCCCACTCTCCAGTGTCTTTTGTCTTTCTTATCATCAGTTGTTAGGTCTGCAGTGTTATGTGGCAAGTGCTTGTCTATTTGAATTCTAAGAGCACTTTAGCGTCTTCCTTTTCTATTACTTTGTCAATTCTGTGGCCCCACCAGTTCTTGCTTGCAGAAAAATGGTATTTCTTGCAGATCTTCCAATGCACCACTGTTGCTACATTGACATGCCATTCTTTGCGGTCAGTCAATGCAATCTTCTTGCAGAATGAGTCTTCTTAAAGATTTCTCTCTTGATATTAACCTCTACCAGTTTATCACCATTGACCAGCAATTGTGTCTTCCATTATGCCATTGATCTTTGCACAAACCTTCTGATGTTTCTACTGATTCCTGTTATTTCTAGGCACTTGATTATCCAATCTTGGCAGGGAATTAATGGCGTTGTCTGTGGTCAGTCCGTGCAATCTTCTTAATATGCCTTCAAAGCAGTGTTGACTCCTGGAGACTATCTGGACAAGACTTTTCAGTTTTCTTGGCAGTATTTCAGAAGTTTCCACAATGGCTAGCCAGACCAATGGGAAGCCTAGTAACATGTTTACTTTTAAATGGCTTTCCATTGGTCTGGCTAGCCATTGTAAGAACAAAATACGAGATTAAGTAACCCTCTAGGTTTGTTTGTTTATTCGCAAGCATCACAATTAAAATAAGGCACACTATATAATGTAACATTTAAAATATAAAACACAAGATTAAAATATGCACAAATTAAACAGTTCTTACCCAGATCTTGGTCTCTAGGTGACTTTGTATTATGGCTTGTGCATACACATCCCGCTCCCCCAAATTTGGAACAGCTTTCAGTTTGCGTTCCCTCCAACGTAAATCTCAGCCCAGTTTCTCCCCCCACCCCTAAAGAAGCCATTAGTCAACCCCGCTATTTTGGGCAATTTTTGACTTGCCTCTGACCTTTTTTCTACTAAAAATTGTTGAGGTGTTTGACTACAGCTGCAGATAACAATAAAAGTAACAGATTACCTGGATTCCTCTCAGTCATGTTTCAGGCCTGGCCATAGGACCAAAACAGCAATGATTTTGCTTCTGGATGACCTCTGGCAAGAGCAGGATGAAGGTAATGCATACATCCTGGTTGTCCCTGATCTCTCTATGGCTTTCAATGCCATTGAACATGCTGTTGTTCTGGATCAGTCCTGGGGGCTTTTAATTGAGGCAGAAGTTTGCTTTGGTTACCTTCCTCTTTCTGGGGTCAGTTCTAATTGATGTTAATGAGAGGGGGAAAATTGAGCCCACATTCCCTTTTCCATGGAGCTCTTCAGGATTCAATATTCTCCTGTTTAACATATGCATGAAGCCATAATAATAATAATAATAATAATAATAATAATAATAATAATAATAATAGTAGTAGTAGTAGTAGTAGTAGCAGCAGCAGCAGTAGTAGCAGTAATAGTAGTAGTAGTAAAGTTGGAAGGGACCTTGGAGGTCATCTAGTCCAACCCCATGCTCATGCAGAAAACCCTATACCATTTCAGATAAATGGCTGTCCAGTCTCTTCTTTAAAACTTCCAGTGTTGCAGCATTCACCACCTCTGGAGGCAGGTTGTTCCACTGGTTAATTGTTCTAACTGTCAGGAAGTTTCTCCTTGGTTCTAGGTTGCTTCTCTCCTTGATTAGTTTCCACCCGTTGCTCCTTGTCCTGCCTTCAGGCGCTTTGGAAAATAGTTTGACTCCCTCTTCTTTGTGGCAGCCCCTGAGATATTGGAACACTGCTATCATGTCACCCCTTGTCCTTCTCTTCATTAAACTAGACATACCCAATTCCAGCAGCCGTTCCTTATATGCTTTAGCCTCCAGTCCCCTAATCATCTTTGTTGCTCTTCTCTGTACTCTTTCTAGAGTCTCAACATCTTTTTTACATCGTAGTGACCAAAACTGGATGCAGTATTCCAAGTGTGGCCTTACCAAGGCATTGTAAAGTGGTATTAACACTTCTTGATTCTATCCCTCTGTTAATGCAGCCTAGCACTGTGTTGGCCTTTTTGGCAGCTGCAGCACACTGCTGGGTCATCTTTAGGTGATTGCTAATAGGATTCCGAGGTCCCTCTCACAGTTACTACTATTGAGCAAGGTGCCACCTATGCTGTACTTGTGCATTTGGTTTTTCTTGCTTAAATGTAGAACGTTGCTTTTTTACCATTGAATTTCATTTTGTTAGATAGTGCCCAGTGTTCAAGTCTGTCCAGATCCTTCTGTATCTTAAGCCTGTCTTCTGGAGTGTTGGCTATTCCTGCCAGCTTGGTGTTGTCTGCAAATTTGATGAGTTCCCCGTCTATCCCCTCGTCCAAATCGTTGATGAAGATGTTGAAGAGCACTGGGCCCAGAACAGAGCCCTGGGGCACCCCACTACACACTTCCCTCCATGTAGATGCAGTTCCATTGAGCACCACTCGCTGAGTACGGCCGGTCAGCCAGCTACGGATCCATCTGGTGGTGATGCTGTCTACCCCACATTTTTCTATCTTATTAAGTAGTAGGTTGTGATCTACTTTATCAAATGCCTTACTGAAGTCCAAATAAATTATGTCCACAGCATTCCTCTGGTCCACTAATTTTATCACTTGGTCAAAGAATGCAATAAGATTTGTCTGGCATGATCTATTTTTGACAAACCCATGTTGGCTTTTAGTAATGACTTTGTTTGCCTCTAGGTGTTTGTTGATTCGTTGTTTGATTATCTTTTCCATTGGATAAGGGCATCTGTCAGAATAGGTATAGTCCTATCTTGGGTTGTGGATTTTCTGTTTCTATGTCTGTGTGGGCTCCAACTCAATCAAGCAGGACTGAAAAATGCTTCTGGATTTTACGGTATCCAAAATCCTGGACTTTAGATTTTGTGTTTCCTCACACAGAACCAATGTAAAATTTGGGAGTTCTCCTAGACTCATGGGGTTAGTGGTGGCTGGGGCCAAGTGGACTTCTCCACAATTTCATGTCGTGCACTAATTGACCCCTTTGCTGGATCAGGAAGAACTGTGCATGGTCACTCATGCTTCATTCATCCCCCAAATGGATTAGAATGCAACGTAGTCTAAATGGTGCTGTCCTTTGTTCAAAGGAAAGTTACAATTGGCAGCATGAGCAATTATGGGCATCCTTTAGTATGTATGTACTACATACAAATAGTCTTTGACCTACAACTGTAATTGAGCCTGGAATTACAGTCATAAGTCATGCCGGTTGTTAAGCAGGTCATCACTTGACTGCACTCAATTTTATGACCTTGTTTTGCAGCAGTCATTAAGCAAACAGCAGTGGTAAAGCAAACACCATGGTCGTTAAACGAATCCATTGTCTGCAATTGAGGTTTTTTTCCTGGAAACTGGAAGTAAACACCAATTTTTTGCAAAAAAAAATGGCACAAATCACAGTCACATGACTATGGAGTGCTGCAAATGGCCATAAATGCAGACCAGTTGCCAAGAGCTCCAAATGCAGTCACGTGATTCTGGTGGGGGACAGCCACCAGAACTTCAAATTTGGATCCTATGTACCTTATCTGAGCTCTGTCGTAATTTTGAACAGTTGCAAAGCAGCTAATTATAAATCAAGCATTATCTGTATCTGGCTTTTAAGCTACACTAGTTCCCAACAGGTTTTTAGGTGCAATTCAGGATGCTGGTTAGTGCCTATAAAGCTCTTCATGGCATAGAATCAAGATATTTCAATGGCCACTTTTCTCCAATTGTCTCTACCTGCCCCATCAGATCTGGCAGAAAAAGCATGCTCTGGATCTTGTTGATCAGAAAACATGTCTTCTCTGTAACAATGTCAGCCCTTTGGAACACCGTTCCTCCTGAGATTAGATTAATCCTAAAGTTGCTGCACTTCTGGATTTCAGAAATGGTAGAGTTAGTGAACTTATGAATTTGTTATTTGTCCAATTATCTTTGCTGTCAATTTTTTGATGTTTGTATTTTTTGTTTTGATGTTATATTATGTTAGTTGTCTAGAGTTAAAGCCTAGAGATGGCAGCCATAGAAATCCAATCTAGTGCTCAATTTTGGACTGAGGTTTTGAGCTCCATCAATATATATGTAAATTAGTTGTATTTTAAAATGTTTGAAAACTAAAAAAATGTGTCCTTAATATATAAGTCAGATGGCCCATACTTAAAAGTATTAAAATACATCATACTTACTTGGGACCAGAAACAGATGAAAAAAGAACTATTTTACAGAGTCATTCAATGTGAATCTATGACATTAATGGATTTTTAACCCTGGGTTAAAAATTGATGCACAACTTTATATTAAATAATTTATATTATTCCAATAGACAAATAAATTACTAGAAATACAATCCTAAATTAAAAGTAACTTTTATTAAAATATTCAAGTAAGGAGAATGATGAACAGCACATTTTATCATACAACATATATCAAATGAACGATATAATTGATTTCAGACAAACAAGCTTTTGCCGGGCATAATTTAAGATTTTTTTAAAGATAAGAGCCAATATAAAGACCATAGAAATCTATGTTGCTTAATTCACACTCAGCTGTACTAAAAATTTGTATTTAGCATATTACAAAGGCTAGAGGTATATAATCTGGAATATTAAGGAACATATCTAGATGACATCCTTTGCTGCAGGCTGCATAGTTTATAGCAGGGGTCCCCAATCCCCAGTCCATGGACCAGTACCGGGCCACGGCATGCCAGCAACGGCATGCCACACAAACAAGCAAAGCCCCATCTGTGGGATGCAGGCAGCACACGAAACCACACCCCTTCCGGTCCATGGAAAAACCTCTCTCCACGGAACCGGTCCCTGGTGCCCAAAAGGTTGGGGACCTCTGGTTTATAGTATGAAATGGGAATCTGTACCCACAGAAACTATAATTAATGTGTAAGATTTTGAGAAATGATTCTTTATTTGAACTGAACTCTATACTGTGCCAGTTTGACCTATGGAATGAAATCAGTATGGTCTTTATTTGGCCTGCGGGTTTTTCATGTGCTGGTACTATTACTACAATGTTTATTAGCAGTGCTACTGCCTGCTGCAATTAGCATACTGCAGTACAAAAAAGAAGAGTAACATCTTAATGGTAAAGAACACATTTTAAATTTTAAAAGTCCTAAATTAAATCCTTGGCATCTCAGGTTGGGCTTAAGTAGGCTCCTGTTCAAAACCTGAAAGTGCTGCTCATCAGTACAGATAATTCCAAGTAAGTTGACTAGTAGCTTGACTTGATATAAGGCAGCTAGTTGGGAAGATTTGATTTAACTTTAATATTCATAATTCAAACATTCATCGAGCACATTCTCTTCTGAAATCCCACTTTTTACATGGAAATACTTAAGAAATCAATAGTGCGTATTGCTCATCATAGCTTCGGTCCCTCTGAAAGACAGCCTGGGTTGGCACGACACATGAGGCTAAAAGGCGATTGGCCAATTTGTGACTCAGTGTGTTGTGCAAACCTAACCTGTAGAGTCGATTTATGATTCACTGTGTGTTCCGTCAGGCAATTTGGTTAATTCATAAGCCATTATTATATAAGCTATGGCTAGTCTACTGTGCAAACAAGCCAAAGACAGTTCATGAAATTTAATGAACAAAATCTAATTATCACATACTTAAAAACAAATAGGATTCTTTTATTACAAAACACAAATAGAGAACAATAGAAATGTTGAACACATACCACTGATAGAAAAATTGACATTAAAAACCTTCACTTAAAATGTATTAACTTAGAATATATTGTGTTCTAGAAAGGGTTACTTTTAGTCTAAATTACTATATGGGAGAAACCTTTAGGAAAAGCATGCACCATCGGTAATGTATTTTCACAGATAACATTTTTAATTGCAGGGTGAATCATAGGATAGTACATAAGAGCTTCTTCTCCCGGAAGGGATTTTCAGATGCAGGCACTGGTATAATAAGGGGATCTTCTCCCATATGAGCATCACAATATGCCAATAAATCAGCAGCTGCCTTGGATACCTAGGAGCATTTTAAAAAGAAGAAAAGGAACAAAAGAAAAATGGGGGAAGGATTATCTAAGTATTATTACTACTTCCATAGTGTTAATAGGTTGATCCAAGCAGTTAGAATATTTCTATGAAGTAGTCCTTTATACCCTAGCTGGGGAACCAGATGCCCCAGGCTTGCACATGATTCTTGAAAGCTTTCTGTGCATCTCCCAGCCTCTCAAGAAAATTCTCTGCATTATAATTTTGAATAAGGCAGAAACACAAAAGTATTAAGTATATAAGCAGTAATCATATAATTAAACTACTTCATATTAAATTAAATTATTTTAAAGTTTTTACCTTGCCCATCAGATCTTTTTTGAGAGTAGGATTTGGAGGCATACCATGCATATACCTCAAACTATAGTTCAGTATGTTATTTATTAATCTCTCTAAAATTATAGTACATTCCTAAAACAGGACATGTATAGACTATGGGGAAGAGTCCAAAACTAAATATGAAAAAGTGATATACTGTGTTTCCCTGAAAGTAAGACCTACCCTGAAAATAAGCCCTAGCTTGATTTTGGGGGGTGGGCCTAATATAAGCCCTACTCCAAAAAGAAGCCCTAGTTTTGGGCCGAGACACACACCTAAAAATAAAGCTAGGGCAGGGTGGGAGCTCGCCACACGCCCCGCACCCACTTACCTTGCAGCCAGGCCTCTCCTCACCGGCCCACTTCTCCCGCGTCCACAGGCCTGAATTTTGCAGTCAGGCCTTTCCGGAAGGCCTCTGCAGCCAAAAACCGAGCTATGGATTCAATCTATAGCGCCATTTTGCAAGGCCTTTGCAGCCGAGAACCAAACTATGGATTCAATCCGTAACTCGGTTCTCAGTTGCAAAGGCCTTCCGGGAAGGCCTGACTGTGAAATGCAGGGCCGAGCTCCATTCTGAGTTGCAGAATGAAGCTGCTCCTTTGGCTGCAGAAGAAGTGGGCTTGCTGGGTGGGGCTGTCGATGCCAGAGGTGAGTGAAAAAGACACCCCACGAAAATAAGACCTGGGGCCTCTTTTGGAGGCAAAAAAAAGACCCGGTCTTATGTTCAGGGAAACACGGTATTGATAATTTTTTTCATATTTTTAGAACAATGTGGAAATCTTCACAAGTCCCGCTAAAAGTGGAACAAAAACAGATGCAAAGGGAAAGAAAGACTAAATGAGTTATTTAAAAAACTTGACCAGTATCTTTGTCAGATATTTACATGATTAATTAGGCACTTCTCTTTAACAGCGAAGCCTCTGTAATAAACAGTGGCCTCTGCATCAGATCAAAGAAATACAGTATAGGTCAGTGATGGCGAACCTTTTAGAGACTGAGTGTCCAAACTGGAACCCAAAATCCACTTATGCATCGTCGGGTGCCGGGTGGGTGTGGCCCATTAGGTGGGTGTGGCCCATTGGGTGGGTGTGGCCCATTGGGTGGGTGTGGCTGTGGTGGTAACAGCAGACTGGGTGGGACTAAAAAGTTCAATCAATCAATTCCAACTTTGCAAGATCTTTTTTCTTCCCACAAGAAGTTGAAATTGACTGATTGATTGAACCTTTTTTTTTGCACATGGCGGCGGAGGCCTAAAGCGAAAAGGTTTTATAAAACCCAGCTGAAGCCCTAGGACTGGGGCGACGGTGCACGTGCCCACAGAGAGGGCTCTGAGTGCCGCCTCTGGTACCCGTGCCATAGGTTCGCCACCACTGCTATAGGTGATCCTTATTATTCACAGGAGTTTCATCAGCATAAAAGCATAAACTGCAAATAATGCAACCTTGAGTATATGAAAATTAAAGGATTATCTTCTTCTTCTGCATCATCCCTGTATTTACTCTTCTTTCTCCCTGTTCTACCTTTGGATCACCCCAGTCACAGGGCTTCAAACAGATTCTTTACAGCAAGCATCCTTCTTCTTTGGAGTCTACACTCAGACGATGATGTAGAGGGTCACCTCATTCATACCAAGTGGTTCATGATGAGTCTCCACTCTGTACAACTCTTTCCAATGAGGGAGTTGGGGACTATCAATTGCACACTATATTTTATTGATGCCAGCAGTCTGTATGCGATGCTTAGAGGGATTTGTGAATGTATTAGAGGCAGAGTTAACATTCAGTGGCTGGACACTAGTGCTTTCTGCAGACCATTCGCTGCTCATTCCAATTGCTGCAATTGATATGTGGGCTGCATTAGTAGCCAGTGATATAATCAAAAGGCCATTCTAATATGACAGACCTGCATCATGCAGGACAGTTATCACAAATTTTGTTTGTTTGTTTGTTCTATCACCAACCATAAGTCACTCCAAAGAACAAAGTCAATGCTATAAGGAAGCCATGTGAAATGTTGCAGCAGAACTGGCCAGCAAGATGCAATTTATTTTATTCATATGTAGTTCCCATACATATTTTATTTTTAGTCTATGATAATGTACCAAATGGTACATTCTGGCACAAGTACAGACATTCAGAAAAAGAAAAGAAAAGCTCAATTAGATTGGTCAGTTATTTTTGTGCTAACGGATTGTAAAATAGTAACAGAAAGGAAAACAAGGAAAAATTAGATGAGAAATGAATGCAAGGAAACTAAATTTTGGAATATGTGTCCTTCACCAAGCAATGTAACTTGGAATCACTTAGACACAATTTCTGATAAATTGGTTTTTAGATCTCACAATCCAGACAATGTAACTATATTAAACCAGTAGTTGATTAAATATCTTTTGGTTTATTATAAATGAATATTACCACAAATTCTACCTCGGAAAGTTGTTACCAGATATTTATGATTTAAGAGAAAGTTTAGCAATCTTTGAAAGAACTAGAGAATATTATCATTACATTTCAGAGTAAAGAAGGTGATTAAAAACAGCCCAAGTTAGAATATAATCCTGTTAGATACCCTATAATTATAAGATTCACTGACAAGACAAAATGCTGCAATTACTACAGTCACCTTCCATGAAAAGACAGACATAATTACTGTTCATGCAATGACACCCACTCTGCTTGTGCTTTGTATCTAAAATGAGCACATCCACAAACATCTCACTAATGCCAGTGTTGATTTCACAACACTATTTTAGAAATAATTAACAATTCCATCTTTAAAGGAGAATGGGAAAAGCACAATAGCTGCTGCACGCAATTGTTCACAATGCTACTTATGTTAAAAATCAGTGTTTCTTGACTGGATGTCAGCAGCTTAGTTTTATTATTCTAAAAGGTATCTGCAAACTTTAGTTAACACCATACAAATTTATTCTACAACATTGGCTTTAACTTTTTCCATTTCACTGTTTTATTTTTAAAAAAGGAATTTTCTTTCAGCAGCAATATTTATCTGCAATGCATTAGTTTCATCTCAATCATAGCTACTGTTCTTAATTAAGATCTAATTTTTTAGTATATTTTGTTCGTTATTCTGAATATTTTAGAGTTTAATTTATCAGTTCCTATTTGGACAATTGGGTCTTTGCATATTTACTTGAAATATGCACAAATCTCTTGTTAATACAAATAGTAGTGATTAAATCAAGAAGCCTCTCATACTTTTTTTATTTTTGCTGAATTGAGAAACTATTATGACAAATTGAGAACAAACCAAAATATTAAACTTTACAATATTTGGAAATCATTTTAATAGCTTTTTAAAGTCACTAGCCATTCAAAACAACGGCAATAAAATTAGAGGCATTATGGTTTACTTATGAGCTGTGTTTGCATATAAGCTATGCAAATAAGCTCTGTATACTAAGAAACATGAATGTATTTCTCAGCTTAGTAATCAAAGTCTAATTATCTGAATATGCCCTGGGCATGCATATGGTTTCCAGATGTGTGATCATCCAAGTAGTATATAAAATTGGACCTCTTTAGCTTTAGAAATAAAACTAGATTAGATAATATTCAACTTCTGGAAGAGAAGAAATGTTAGCAATAAACAGTACTAAATCCCCAGTCTCCGTTTTCCTTTCCATAGTTGTTAGACCTAATCTCTCTGCTCTTTGGATGTATATTTGTTATCTATTTTGACTCTGACATAAAAGATTCTGTTGCTCAACAGTTATTGCATATAATATCACAAAGCAATATAATTGATTCTCATAATCCTCAGCATCAGCTTTTTCAAAATGCCAATTTAAATATATCATTTAGAATGTTTTGTACATGTGGAAATGAGTCATCTCTGTTTATGCATATGCAGGAATACAATAATGTTTATGTGGGAATGTTATTTGAGAAACTAATAAAAGTTAATTAATTTACAATGTATTGTTTCATTTCCAAAGAGAAGTAAATGTGTGTACATTCATTTTGCTTATCTCATGAATGTAAAAATCACAATCTAAAATATTCAAGCCAAACATCTGTCGTGTGCGGTAGTAATTTCAAACCAGATAAAAATCTGCTTAGGCAGTGTTTTTAAAGAATGGGTGCCTATGAGGTCTTTCAGAAACAATGTTAGTACTGCAGTTGACAGGACAGCACAATGGGTAGGTGTTCTGGGGAGGGTTTAAACTTCACAGAATTGTCACTGATCCAACAACATTTAATTAATTTTACAAGCCAAGATATCCTCTGTTCTGTATTGTGAACAGAAAATCTAAGAAATGTCAAAGGCTTTAAAACACTTCCAAATTACTTTGTTCACTCAAGTACCACAAAATTGTGCTCTGAAAGGATGCATCACATCTAACATTCAATAAATCTACTAACTCCAGTGACAACGGATATAATCTACTTTTTTCTTAAATTAAAATGAGAGATCGTCTTTTCTCAACAGTAAAATTTATCAACAAACTAAGAGAGTTACAGAGCTGCTCAGGAGATAATTCAAGGATAATCTGATCCTTCATGTGCTATTAACTTCCAAGCATAAATGCTATAAGTAATAGCTATATGCCCTAATTTCAATATAACCTAAACATTTATGCAACTTGAGTAAATTCCAACATTATACAAATGTTGAACAGTAGGATTTTTCTCTCTTTAAATCCACAATGCCGACCTTGGCCTTATTCTATTCTAGGATTACTCCAAGGTCTCTGAATCAGATTTTGAGAATCTAGGGGGGTTCTAGGAGAAAGAGTATCTTCCCCTTTTTTTCTACAATAGACACCCATCCATGAACAGTGAAGGTCACTGTAAATCAGGGGTGTCAAACTGCCGGCCCACGGGCCGGATGCATCACACTGAAGCCGCGCCCACCCCAGCTCCAGCAAGGGGGAAAAAGTCGCAATACGTCGTGACACATCACCTGACGCAGCGAGTTTGACATCCCTGCTGTAAATAGTTACAGCTTCCCAATAACAAATATCACAGGATAATATCTGTAGGAGTTACACTGAGAATCGGAGAGTGCCAACGAAGGGATTATTGTTGTATCAATGGCTACTCAGCCCCCTGCCCGAGACGTGCAGAACAGATGTCCCTTAAGCTATTAGAAAACTGGTGGTGGTAGGAAAGCTACAGGTTTAATCTGCGCTGGACATAAGGGGAAATTGCACTCTCATATCGACAGATGGCAAACAACTAGCTTCAGCCTAGTACCGATGCCAGTATGCCATATGAAAATTCTTATCTAGCTATGCTGGTTGAAAATATGAATAGCGTCTGCAGATTTCTAACCAGTGAATGGCTAAAATTTGTAAATATGATTACAAGTTCAAATTTACCTTTATCCTATCCAGATATGCTTCCATTTTTAATTGCTCCACTGCTTTTCTTGCTTGAGATATATTTGTTGTACTGTTATTAGGCATTATCTCCTTCATTCTGATTTTCCTAGATCAATAAAAATGAGAGCATTACAAATTGTTTATTTTTAAAAGATAAACCATTCTAAGAATAGATATATTTTTCTAGCTCCAGTTTCTTCTTAGATCCTTCTTTCATTTCACTGATCAATCTTCATTGAACTGCCAGTATGGAATTTTATCTTTGCAATCTTCCTCTAGGCTTTTCAATATAATCAGAGATCAGGTTACCTAATAATAACCCATCATATTTAATATGTAATTAAGTCATTTATTGTAGCAGGAGAGATCAGCTTTGCACAACGCCCTAATTTGAGAATGAGTAAAGGCAGCATTGGCAGAGCAGAATCATAAGGGACAGGATTTTCAGTTTTTTCCCACTAATTATTTGAACTGGGGAGGTTGTTTTTTATTTTGATTTGTTTTCTTTAATTGGCCTGTTTCTGCATTTCCTGCCTGAATATATCAGGAAACTATATGTCTTCAGTGATAAGTAATAATACCACTGATTTTCATCTATCAGTTTCAGGGCTTGTAGGATTTCAAAAATGCTTATGGGGGGCGGCCACAAGTTATCCATTTATTCATAATAGTTTTAGAGAGAGGGAGAGGAGAGAGAGAGAGGGAGAGAGAGAGGGGGAGGGGGAGAGAGAGGGGAGGAAAAAGAGAGAGAGAGAGAGAGAGAGAGAGAGAGAGAGAGAGAGAGAGAGAGACCCGAGTTGGTTTTACAAATCAGGGAATTGTCCATTTGTCCGTCAAATAAAATTCCAGCCTTTAAAAACACTGATATTTGTTTCTTTATTTTAAAGAATTGCAGGCCAGATTTAAGGGTAAAAGATCCAGTAATGTAATTTCTATAGCATAAACTAATAATCTTGAGCTAAAACCGTTTAACATCTTGTATATGTTTTTCCTGGTAATTTAGTTTTAGGTTCTTAGTACATATTAATCTTTCATATTAAAACAGAATGTTTCCTATTGTCCTCTGCTTTATCCTCTGCTTTATCTTACCAATTTTGTAAACCCAGCAACTATAATTTATAGATCATTCCTTATGGCTTAACACATGTCAATTCACCCTATGGCAATTTATTCAATCAGTAAAGAGCCAGTTTGTTCTAGCAGTTAAGGCAGCAGGCTAGAAACAGGGACACTGAATTCTAATCCTGCTTTCAACATGAAAACATGCTGGGTGACTTTGGGCAGTCATTCTCTCTCAGCCCAACCCACCTCACGGAAAAATAGAAGACAAAGGAGTATTAGGTATGTTCACAACTTTGAGTTATTATTTCTTTAAAAAAAAACAAAAAAAACCTACCTTTACACAATATGTGAATCCCCACTAAATTAGTACTGAAATACTTATAAATGGTTAAAATGTCCACATGAGTATAAAATTAATGTATAAAATGTTAAATCTAGAGTTAATACAGTACCAGAAACAGAATCACTACAGAGAGAGAACTGAAAAGGAGAATCAATTGATTTATTTGTACCTTAAAAGAACCAATTTGTTTCTGTCATAAAAGAAATCTTACAACCAGATTTTGAAAGAGGTAATCGGTAAAAACCAATCAGTGAGAAGCAATGCCACCCTGTAATATGAACTTCCCTATATTTTGCCTCACTATCTCTCCTGCTATTATTGATGGTTAGAAGGGTTTGGTTTTGATATTAAGATATTTTATGTATCATTTGTATTGCACTATTCTGGTGCAGACTTTATTGCAACATTATAGTTTTACCTGAGGTATGCTAATGTGAGCAAGGTGGAAACATTTTTTTTATTACAAATAGCAATAAAATAACTAGCAAATCTAGCTTAGAATCAGTTTAAATTCCTGGGATATGGTGATATGAAAATCGATGGATGGTTAAAGAAAAACTGGACGTGAAGGATGCACTGCTGTTCTCTGTCTTTCTGGTTCTACAGAATATGAGAAGACTTAACGCATAGGACAGTGATGGCGAACCTTTTGGAGACCGAGTGCCCAAATTGTAACCCAAAACCCACTTATTTATCGCTGGGTGCCAGGTGGGTGTGGCACACTGGGTGAGCGTGGCTGTGGTGGTCATGGCAGATTGGGTGGGTGGGGCCAAGATGGGCGTGATCACCTCAATGTTGTTCGTGGGGAGGGACACCTGTGGGGGCCAGGCAGGGTTGGGGGAGATCCAGGGGGTTTCTGGCAGGTGGGATGGTGGGCAGGAGGCTTGTCCTGCGGGGCGAGGTGAGGCAGGGCGGGGATGCCATTGTCACAGGGCAAGGTGAGACGGGCCAGGGGGGCTGCTGCCTGACACCATCAGCCCCTGCACATAGAGGCCAGTGAGTGCATGGGTGCTGGGATGCATCTGGCCATATGGGATCTCAGTGAGTTAGCAAGCAGCTGGTTGAAGAGGGACGGTTGCCATCTCCGGGGCATGGTGCGCGTGCCCACAGAGAGGGCTCTGAGTGCCGCCTCTGGCACGCGTGCCATAGGTTTGCCACCATTGACATAGGACAACAGGCTATTGTTTAGGCTTATAGCCCAGGGAGAAGAGAAGTGCTACAAGAGAGCTGAATATTTGTGAGTGACAGGATTTTTTTTTAAAGTAAAATCTCTGCAAACTCTCCTACTAAATAAGACACCAGGGGGTTATTTCAGATTCAGATTAAAGTATTTCCAAATAACATACCCAAAAGCATACTGCAAAAAAGGGGGAAATTACTCCTGAACACTCACATCTAATTCATTATTTTTAAAAACTCAGTGCGAATATGAACCAGAAACAGTAAGAAGGTAATATTTGTCAGGAATTTGGATTTCTCTCTCAGGCAAGATTTTGTTTGATTCATATTAAAGTTTTACAAATAAGAAAATGGAGAATAAGCTACACCATAGATCTATATCTCTTGAGAAAGAATCCCAAAGGTCATAGTGCGCATCAGGTTTTTCCCCTTTAAGGCAGGTTTTATTTCATTTTATTTATTTAATTTGTTTGCCACCCATCTTGCTGCAAGGAGACTCTGGGCAGTGTACAACATTTAGTTTTAGATTTACCCTTCTGGACTCTTGAGACCAGCAATTCCTGAAGACAGAAACAGAGACATGAAAATGGATATGGTGTGGCTGAGGCAAAGAGAGACCTTGGATTTGAAAGCTCTTAAATCCTTTCCCAGACCAGTAAAATATTTGGATGAACAAGTCTCCTGTGTTTAGTCAGGTTCTCATAACTACTCTGAAAGAGTAATTCAAATGCCATTAAATAACTATTCAAGCACGCATAAAATTGTTATTCTGTGGATTTTTGTTCCTTTTTTGGCCTCTACTCTCGTCTTAAGAAAAGTTTTTGCCTGCTGCAGACATAAGTAATTGATGTAATATACTTGTGATTACAGCATGGGTACATATATTTGCAGACATAGTTATAAACCATGAATCAATAACTCTAACCTATCTGATGGGAAGAAAGCAAAGGACAGCTAAAACAAGCAGACATAATCTCTGCACTTTCACTTGGGGAACAAAAATAAAGCCATTTTGCAACAAATATTCACCCCCTTTTCCCTGCATATCTTTGCCACTGAATATTGTAAAAGTGACGTATAAAGTGAGAAAAGTGCATGAGCAAATAGCAACCGAAGTTTGGTGCTTGATTCATTTATTTCATAAAGATATTTTATATGTGATACCCCAGTGAATTGCCCTCGCCTCCCCTTAGAGGCAGTAACTAGTTGTACCACTTTCAACTACATTAATTACAACCACATGCTTCCTCTCTTTGGTTGTCAATTTCTCATATAGCTGGGTAGAAATTCTGGCCTATTTCTCCATGGCAATCTACTTCAACTCAATAATGCTTGAAAGTTTACTAGCATGACTTGCTCATTTCAGATTCTACCCCCTTTCTCTTTGAGTTGGTCTTTCCAAAACATCAAATTTGTTCTCCTACAGCCATTCTCTTCTAGACTTATTTGTATGTTTGGGATTAGTATCTTCCTGTATGACCTAATGCTTGAGAAGTGGCATTAGTCACTCCTGGTAAGATGGGCAGCTATATAAATTTGACAATTAGATAGATAGATGAGGGAGAGAGAGAGAGAGAAAGAAAGAGGGAGGGAAGAATTCTTACTGTTGAATGCAATATTTGTTTTCTGCCAAACGTAACAATTCCATGTAATTGCAAAATGTTCATATTTGATTCATCTGTCCCTAAAATGTTCCTTCAGAGAACTGGAAAGCTGTCCAAGTGCCTTTTGGTAAATTTGAAACAAGCATTACTATTCTTAGTAAGCAGTGGCTTCTACCTTGCTTACCATACTCCCAAGAATGCCCTTTTTAACCAGTTTTTTTTCAGATGGGTAAATTTTGTAGACTGTTTGGTCAAGGCAAGAAAATCCTGCAGATCCCTACAGGCTTTCCTAGGGTTTTAATTTCCTGTATGCTGTGCTCTTAGAATGGTTTTGAGAGGATGGCTGCTGTTTGTAGTGTTCACTGATCTCCAAGCCTTCTCAATTTCAAGACTGTCTGTATTGCTATTAATGGAGAAATAGTTTTTCACTGTTTTCACACTGAACATGTTTGAACATCTAGAACTGATATGACAAGACTTTCATATTGATGAGGAGCCAAGATTTGTGAGATTTGCATAGGGTAGGGTTGCTGGCACACATCAGCCCTGATTGTTTAATGAAGCATTCACGTACATAGCCCTAGTTACATCTGTAATGGAACTGATTGAATTAGAGATAAACTACATTTTTCACACCGGCACATCATATTGGATGACCTTTGTTTATGAAATGAATAAGACAAAAATGAAACTTTAATTATTTTTCGGTCAGATTCCATATATACAATATTTATTAGTTGGACCACGTGAAGCTCTGATTACACTTGGTAGCAATTATGCAGAAATTCAGAAAATCTTAACACTTTTTCATATAACTGAATTTATTCTCTTGCCTATTTCACACAATTACCTCCTTCATTTCTTACGAGGGAGAGGCAGGGAAAGGACACACCTCTGCTAGAGGAAAAGTCCACTGGT